TATATTTTTTTTTTTTTTTTTTTTTTTTTTTTTTATAATTTTTAAAATGAAAAAGAGAAAAATATCTTCTTTAGTCTTCCTTTATATAATTTAATATAATCAACAAATTATGTTTTCTTATTTTGTTTATAATTCTTGATTATAATATTTTCTTTAAAATATTTAATAATATGAAATATTATAATGATTACTTTAAAAAGAGACTTAAAAAGAAAAAAAAAATATACATCCAAGTTAAGAAAAAATTTTTTAGAATTATATGCTGACGATAATGAAAGAAGAAATAAACAAATAAATTTTTCTTACTATATTAATATAGAATCAACAATTTTAGAATTACTGTTAGATAATAATTTAGAATCTTTTAAAAATGCAGGAAAACTTTTGTTCATTATACTGTCTGGTGTATCACCTAATATGCTTTATTTTAAAAGAGTATTAAATTTAGTTTATTTATTTTTTTACAAAGGTGGAACAAAATTTTATCATAGCGATATGCATTTTCAAATTGTAGTATTTCTTCACAGTTATATTAAATTATATAATATTATTTGCTCAATATATATTTTTAATCTATTATTAGCTAATAATAATATAAAGAATTTAGAAAAATACAAAGATAAATATATTCCTAAACATATAATAGCCACCTATGTTGATCACTCATATTTTCACATAAAAGAATTTTTATTAACAGTTAGAAAATTTCTTATTGAAACTAATAAAGAAAATTATCAAAAAAAAAAAACATATTTAAAGAAATTAAATGAAAAAATTGTATTATATAAAGAAAGTGATGAAGAAATTTTACAAAATTTTTACAAATTATATAATTTTGAATTCCCTAAATCCTTAGAAAAAAATTTAAAATATTTAATATCACAATGTACACGTGTTAACTATCCTTTGCATAGTATATATCTAGATATTTACATTTTATACAATATTAAAAATATATTAAAAGTTTTAGTTGTAATAGATCAGTTATTTTGTTCTTTATTTCCTTACTATTATTTTTATGAATTAAAACTAAAACTTCTTTTACTTCTAATACACAAATATGAAAATGAAAAAGAATATTTAAATTATAATGGATTAGAAACAATAAATGATAAAGAAAAAATGCATTCTTATGAAAATAATGCAAATCAAAATAAAATAAATTATATTCAAATTTATAAAAATCCTACTAATATTAATGATGAGGAAAATAGTACTCTTTTATATGAAGAATCGTGTATTGATAATAAAAATATTGACAATAGAAATAAAAACAAAAAAAAGAAAAAAGAAATAAATGACGAATTAAATTGTTTATATAGCAGCGATTCAAGCAAAAGTGATAATCCTACTTTTGATGAAGAAACAAACAAAAAAGATGAAGATATGGAATCTGATAAAAATTTTTATTTAGATAAATTCATGAACTTATATATTAATTGTACAGAAAACATAAATAAAAGTTTACCTTCAATTAGTGAATTACATGAAAATAATCCATTAAAACAATTAAACAAAAAAATAAGAGATAAAAGAAAAAAGTTAGATAATAATTCTATTTTAGATTATTTTAAAATATCTGAAAAAAAAAGTATATATATTGATAAAGAAGACAAGGAATCAATGAATAATAATAATGAAAATGATAATAATATAGGAGTAAATCCAGTTATGAAAAAAGAAAATAAAAGAGTTAAATTGTGTAATCCTCCCCCTATAGAGAATATATATAAAAATACATATAATGATATAGTGTACAATTTAAATGTAGTTGTAAATGTTGCTAAAAAGTTGATGTTTTCATCTTATTATGATGCGATATATGTCAAACTCTTTTATTGTTATTTGTTACCTTTTATTTCTTATGAAAAAAAAATTGAGATATTTTTAATATATTCTTATTCAAACTTTAAAATTATGAAACCATTAACATTCATAATTTTTTATAATAATCACAATTCTCTTTATATTTTAAATACATTTGAAACAATTTTTAAAGATGTTTATCTTTTTCAAAAATACAAGAACACATACTTTAATAACTTTTCTCTAAAAAATATACCTAAAAATTATTTTATTTTTCTTTTTTTTATATCCATTTTTTTTTATAATAACAAAATAGAATCTTTATTATATATGTACAACCTCTTTTACAAGTTAAAAAAAAAAAAAAAAAAAAAAAAAAAAAAAACATTTATATATATAACACTGTATATTTTAAAATATCTCTATTCTATATCTTACTTTACCTTATTAAAATATATATATATATATATATATATATATATTTATTTATTTATTTATTTATTTTACTTAATTTTTTTTCTTTTATTTCAGTTACGATAAAGAAATAATTAGTAACAAAGAGAAAGACATAAACTATACGAAAATATATGAAGAAGTTATATTAAAAAATGATGAAAAATATGTTGAACAAAAAAAGCATATAAACATTATTATTATTAAATTTATTGAAACATATAAAGAAAAATTTAACATTTACCTATGTGAATATTTTGATTTTTATAGAATATTTTTTATTTTATTTGTTTCGTGTGTAGATGTTGAATAGAAGAATTATAAAAGAAAATTTAACATTTTTATTTTTTTAATAATTAAAAAATATTCACTATTTTTTTTTTTGTTAATTTACATATATGTATTTAATATTCATTTTCAAAAAAAACTATTTATTAAGTGTATAATAACATATTTCTTTAATAGATTCACTTTAAATTTTTTTTTTAATATATTTATTTAAAATTTATTTTTTTTTAATTTAAAATATTTATAACTAATTTTTTTTTTTTAATTATTACTTAACATTTAATTAAACCTTATAAAATTTTAGGAATAATTAAAATTAAATATGGACAAATCTAAATACTAAAAAATTACTTTAAAAAGAAAAAATTGGTATTAACTTTAAAAAATTCAAGTTATAAGAAAACAAATTTTTTTCTCTCTACTTTCTATATTCAATAAGTCATACTTTTTAGTTATTCACAAAAAGAATTCTTTGGAATTAATTTTATTCTTTTAATTATATTTACAAAAAATATACATATGAAGCTTTTATAAATTATTTAAATAGTATTTTTGTATATTATTTTTAACATTATTAAAAGTATTTTAAATATTTAATTTTCAACGATCAAAATAAGCATAAAAAAAAAAAAAAAAAAAAAAAAAAGGCCATAATTATTTACATAGTTTGCTTAACTTGTACTTTTAGTAATTACACAAATATAGAAACAAAGTATTGAAAACATACATTTACGTTAATAATTATTAAATGTGTATATAAACATTTTTCTTTATTCTTTTTTCTCTCCTTAAAAAAAAAAATGCTTTTTTATGGAAGAAATAAAAGAAGAAATAATATATTTAAATTCACAAGTAAAACATTTAAATATGCATACTATATTGATTATTATTAATCCTATTTTTAAAAATAAATTTACAATAAAATGTGTGCATTTATTTGCCTGTTAACTTACAAATGTATATAAAAATAAATAACAAGTACAAAATATTTTATATTTAAATATAAATCATTTTATATAATAGTGAAATTTTATGTATTCATTTATATGGTGCTTATATTATTATGGTATTTTAACAATTTACTTTTTATGTCTTTCAAAAATAAGCCAAAAACTTTTCCATTATAAATATATTATTTCTTTCTTACATAATTCATATATATATTACACACAATTTCATAAAATTTTAAAAAAACTTTTCATTCATATTTTGTTTTTTTATTGTAAATAAAGTGTATAATTAAATTTTAAGATTATATATTTTTTTTTTTTATATAATAATATACACTTTGTTTCTCATAATATATTAATTTCAAACTTTTTTTACTATTATTTTTTGTTTCAAATCATTAAAAAAGAAGAAGAAAAAAATAATTAGTAAGTGCTAAAAGAATATATATTATAACCACATATTTTCATAAAAAAGTAAAAAAAAAAAACATGAATAGAAAAGTATAAAACTTCATTACACAAAAACAGTGATAAATTAATTTTAAATGGCTATATTTTTTTTTTTTTTTTTTTTTCCATTGTATCTCAAAATAATAATAGAAATATAAAACAATTAAAATTAATAAAATCGTAAGTTTGATGTATTATGAAATATTTTAAAATGTAGTACAAAAAAATTAAATATAAAATTGTATTCTATTAGTTTTATGCATGGTGTGTTTAATAAAAAATAATTGAAATCATTCATTTCAATTAATTTTATTTTCTAATTTAAAATTATATATATATATATATATATATAATAACAAATTATATTTCTATTTGAAAAAGAAATATTAAGGATTAAATAATTATATATATAATTTATTTATTTATTTATTTTTTTTTTTTTTTTTTTTTTTTTTTTCATATTTNNATATATTTTTACCAAAAAATAAAAAAAAAAAAAAAAAAAAATGAATAATATACTTATATAAATATAAAATAGATAAAAAAATATATTTAAACACATGCACATTTACCAATATATGCATAATTTATAACAAAAATAGAATTATTGATGTTTTAATAAGTTAAAATTGTAAAAAGCTAAAAAACAGAAAAATGGGTAATATTGTATCTTGTTGTTCACTAGACGATAATAAAAAAAATATAAATGAAGACGAAATTTTAGAAAGTAACTATAAGCAAAGTATTTTATTTATAAATTAGAAACATTATGTTAAATTATTTTAAATAATTATTCTAAATAATAATTTTTATATGTTTATTTTAAATATCACAAAATGTTTATATAATATTCTTTTTTTTTTTTTTTTTATTCATTAGAGTTCTCAAATAATGAAATAAATGAATTTAAAAAGAGATTAAAAAATAATATACAAATAGTTGTTTTACTGCAGGTAATTATATTGTATTTTGTAATTTGTATTCTTACTAATTCTACTTTTTACATATTTTTTTTTTTTATCATAAAATAATAATGTAATTGTTATAAGCTAGATATTTTCTAACAAATAATTTTAACTATAAAGAAATAAGTGTGAACATAAATTTCCATAATTTTTTTTTTTTTTGTTTTTAGGATGGTACGAAATTACCTTGCAATTTACAAGCTAACTTTCATGAAAAGACATTATGCATATCATGCCAACAAAAAGTAAATCATTATATTTCATTTTTTTTTTTATAAATATTTAAAATTTTTTTTATTATATATGGGACATTTTCTTAAAAGCAAATTTTTTTTTTAATCATCTTTAGGTAAGAATGATAAATTTCAGTGATATACGATCCTTGTTATATGGAGAAGAACAATTAAAACGTGTAGAGACTCAAGCAAATTTAATAAATGATAACTGCTGCTTAGCTTTACATTTAGATGATAGTGGTAATTGTATACCTATAAAATTTGGATCAGTGAAGGAAAAAAATTTATTTATTTTTGTTATGAAGGATTACAAAAAAAATTCTTAGATATATATTTAAGGTCTTTACAATTATTTCATATTTTCATTTTGGCAAATTAATAAACATCTTAAAATTAATCAATTCATGACTTTAATGTTTTTATACTTCAAACTATGAGTTAACCTTTTTCTCTCTTAGTTTCTTTATAACTCTTAGCAGAAATACTAATTCCGAAATTTTTTTTATAATTTAATTTTTATGAATTTTTTTCTTTAATTTTCAACGAATACTTTTTTTTTTTTATTTTTCATTTCACAATTATTATTCCATATAGTTTTAAATAAAACTGATTTAAAATTTTTTAATCAGTTTATTTTTTTGTTTCCTTGAATAAAAATTAGAAAATCTAAACTTCAATGAATTACGTTTACATAAAATTAATAATTTTCTTTTTGCATAAATAAAAAATCAACATATAAAAAAATAATTCTCTTTGTTAAAACAAAGAGAAAGTAAAAAGAGAATTTTAAATAGCGAAAAGTAGAAAAAAAAAAAGAGCCAAATTCAAAAAAAAAAAAATTAAAAAAATAATTAATTCGTTCCCATGTAATTTGTATTTATTAAAATATTGTATTCAATATAACAACTCAATACTTATTGTTAATTTTAATAATTTTTCATTAAAGTATGCTTTAACCTGTTTTATAAAGAAAAATATGTATTTTTTATATTCTCATCTAAATATTTAAAAACTTTATTTAAAATATATTTATTTTATGAGATATATACAAATTTTATAAATTTAAATAAATATATATATATATATATATTCTTTCTTTTTTCTTTTACATTATCACTTAAATTTTCCTTAAAATTTAAAGACATGCACTCATTGGATCTATAAAAAAAAAAAAAAAAAATTTATTGAAAATATATAAAATTATCTTATGTGTTTATTATTTATTAAGTTACTGGTTGGAAACGTATATATCAATGTTATTATTCTTTTTCAAAATTTCTATATCATCGTAAGAAATATTATTAAAGGTTAAAATAATGTGTAAAAATCTGAATATAAAAAATAAAAATATACATATTAATAACATAATTATTGTTATATAAGTTTTTTAAGTTAAATATATTTATGGTAAATAAAAATAAAATGTTACCTATCAATAATTGTGTAATGATATGACCGTATTTGTTTAGGTATATTAACTTTAGTTGATTCATTATCATTATTTTTTTTTGTAGTTTTCACTAATTTTATATCGTTCAAAATATCACTTGACGTGCTATGTATTTTTATTTCTTTTTTTTCTTCATTTATAGGATCATTATTTTGATTTTGTTTTTCATTTAATATATTGTAAAATTTAATGTCTTCTTCATCTATAGTTTCGTCGTTTTTTTCAATTGAGTTATTATCTATACAATGAGGATTCAAATAGTGACATGATTTTGGAACATATTGTAATTCGATATATTTAAATGTATTAGTATTTACAATTATATCATTCCTGAACGTTTTTTCATAATCATTCATAATTTCTAATATTCTAGTGACAATTTTGTTCTTAAAATACAAATTATTCATATTTTTATATATGATAGAATGTATAACTGCTTCAGCATACATATCTTTAGAACTTTCTCCTTTAATTTTAGATGTACTTATAAAAATATTTTCAAAATTTATGCTATCTATATTGTTCATAAAATCTTTTGGAAGTATTGGTGCCCTAATTTTATTTGTGTAATATATATATATATAATAATCACAAATTTTTTCTTTGTATTCATTTATATTTGTTTTGATAGCAACTTGTTCAACATCTGCTACTACACAAAAACAAAATTTCGGCTTCACTGGTTTTGCTTTATGTATTTTATCCATATGCTTTTTGATAAACTTATCATAGGCCTATAAATATATTTAATTTATTACTATTTTATTAATAATCAAATTAATATTGTTTATTTTATTTTATTCTATTAATAATATATTCCAACCTTTCTATCATTTTTACATAAATCATTTAGAGCATCCCATATGCATTCGGCATTTTTTAAATCCATTTTTGAAATATTTCCTATATTATTTCTTTATTTTCAATACTATATATTTTTATTTATTTCTATCAATTATTTTATTTATCTATTTTTATTTTTTTATTAAATCTTTAAAATATAGAAATATACAAACTTATATACATTTTATTTTTCTATTTATCAACATTTGTATTATTAGATACATTGTAGTTTTTTTCAATTGCATTATTAATAAAATAAATATACCTATTTAAGTTGCATTATTTTTTATTCATATCTTTCACATATAATAACTTTTTTTTTTTTTTTTTTTT